AGTGCTGGGATTAAAGGCGTGCGCCGCCGCCGCCCGGCCTTACTGTGATCTTTTATCCCAGTCAAAGGACAGTGTTCCCTGCTCCGTCACCCCAAGAAACAAGCAATATAGTTGGTGTGCAGGAAACACTCTTTTTATTTTATTTATTCTTTTTTTTCCCCCGAGACAGGGTTTCTCTGTGTAGCCCTTGCTGTCTTGGAACTCGCTCTGTATCAGGCTGGCCTCAAACTCAAGGATCCACCTACCTCTGTTTCCTAAGTGCTGGGATTAAGAGCATGCACCACCATGCCCATTTCAGGAAACACTCTTTTTTAAAAAGGAGGGGAAGGGAGGGTGGTTACCCAAAAGGAAAAAATCCAGTTCATAGGCTGGTGGGCATTAGCTGTGGAGCAGTGGTTCTCAACCTGTGGGTCTCGACCCCTTGGGGTTGCATACCAGGTATTTACATTATGGAAAGTTACAGTTATGAAATAGCAATGCAGTCATTTTATGGTTAAGGGTCACTATACTATGAGGAACTGTATTGAACAGTCTCAGCATTAGGAAGGTTGAGAGCCATATTTTGTAACTAGAGTTTTCCTGCCTTGCCCACAGTCAGGACAAATCTTTGTCACCTGCCAGTCCCACAGCAGCTCAGACCCAACCAAGTAAACACAGGGACTTATATTGCTTACAAACTGTATGGCCGTGGCAGGCTTCTTGCTAACTGTTCTTATAGCTTAAATTAATCCATTTCCATAAATCTATACCTTGCCATGTGGCTCGTGGCTTACCGGCGTCTTCACATGCTGCTTGTCCTGGCTGTGGCTGGCAGTGTCTCTGACTCAGCCTTCCACTTCCCAGAATTCTTCTCCTCCTTGTCCCGCCTATACTTCCTTCTGCGTGACTACTGGCCAATCAGTATTTTATTTACTAACCAATCAGAGCAACACATTTGCCAAACAGAATATCTCACAGCAATATTTCTTGCCCTTTTTCTACTCCGGAGATGGAACATTTGGAACGCAGTGGGGGAGGGCTGAAGAATGTCAGTCCCTTTCCCTCCAGCTCCCTGGGGCGAGGCCTAAGTAGAGAGGAGCCAGGGGCAATCGGTGACTCACCTCCGTGAAGAGCTCACAGGCCTCTAGGTGGGAGTGTCCTGTCTTCCGCCCAGAAAGAGTAGTGAAGACTGGAGATGAGCCCGAGTTGAAGAGGCTTCACAGGGTTTTGCTTCCTTGGGGTCAGATAAAATTACTAAGGAATTTAAAACAGGGACTGAAGCGAACCCTGAGACACCAAGAGAAAAGGGAAACTGAGGCTGGACCAATGGATGGTGCTGTAGTGGGAGGGCATTGGCAGGGGTAAGAAACATGGGTACCCATGACTGCTGCCACATGCATCTCAAACTTGACTGCTAGGATGGGCAAGCACTGAGCATGGCGGCTGTTGGGTCCACAGTGTCTGCTGCCCTTGACTGTTGAGACGTTTAGGGCCGCTGCTTCCTTGCAGTAGGTGGTCTTGCACATTCAACTCCACAGGACTGTGTGTCGGGAGCCAGGAGTGAGAAGACTATGTCAGGACTGGGCCCTTCAGTGGGACACTTGCCGGGCACCAGGGGCTCACTTTGCCTTGGGGATCAGCACACCTATTCTTCGTACCTGTAGTCTAAGGTAGAAGAAGAGCCTCTCTCTTGTAAGATGATGGATCCCTGGTACTGGCTCCTGTGTACACTTACTGTGTCCTCTCTGTGTCCTCAGGTGCCAGCCTCAGAGTGCACCCCAAAGAGGCAGAGAGCTGAAGCCCTCAGCTCCAGGAAATCTCCTTGGACTCCTGCGACGCAGGCCTGTATGAGTGATACTCGCACCGTGGATCTTCAGTCTGTGGCCTGCTCTGCTGTCAAGGAGCTGGAAGCCCTCCTCCCTCACCATCAGGAGGCCAGGTACTAGGAACTGGTTCCCCACTGGTGTCCTCATTCTGGAATGATGGTGGCCTTTGAGAAGGAGTCACCTGTGTTATGTTTCATGCAAGCCAAGGCCGGATGTCAGAGCACTGACTTCTCCTCACCCCTTGTCCCCTGAGTGGGACATTTGGCTGTCAGCACCCTTTGCTTTGCCCTCCAGGCCTGCCCCCCATGGCCAGGCTGGCAACAGCTTTGTACCTTGTGACCCTCTTCCCTTCTGGTTACGTCCACATCACCCCGTTGTCCCCTCCCAGAGCCCTTCCCAGCTCACCTGGGTAAGCGGTAAGCAGGATGGCTCCTCGGCATTCGCTTCCCTTGCTCTAGTCAGATAGCAAATGTTTTTTTTTTTTTTTTTAAGGGAACACTGTATTCACCAGAGAACACTGCTCAGACATGGATTTAAGCCAACAGAAAGTCTTTATTAGCTGGCTGGTGACTACACTGGGTGCTCAGGATCCCAGTGCAGTCCCAAGCCTTTCTCAGGGTGAGCTTTTAAGTACAAAAACCATGTCATGTCCTGGGTTGACATACTTCAGTTAACAAGAACAGTTAGCCAGAAGCAGAACTCCAGAAGTTAAAAAGCAAGGTTAGTACATTTTGAGATTTTCCCAGAAGTATAGACTTTGATGGATTAGGTCTTTGTTTTAGTTATGGCAAGTGGTGCTGTCTGTGTGCTGAGTTTCACAGCCTGAATGGTACTTTCATCATGGAGTCAGTCATGCTAAAGTGTGGGGCCCTGTTACAAACACCCCAGCCAGAACCAATGCAAAAAGGGATGGTTAGGCTAAGGGTAGAGACGGTTCAGACCATGTAGAGATACGACATAGGCTAAACAGAGTACGTTGTGAATGGGAGGGAGTGAAGAGGGGGATGTGAGAAGGTCCCACAAGTGGCCCTGAGGACAGACCTGCTGACCACACTGAGCAGAGGCAAGATGTTAGGTAGCTTGCCAAGAGGCCCCTGCTAGGGATGTTAAGCAGAGAAGGATAAGAAGTACAACACCCAGCCGGTAGGTGGTGGGGCACGTCTTTAATCCCAGCACTGGGAGGCGGAGGCAGAGGCAGGTGGTCTCTCTGAGTTTGAGGACAGCCTGGGCTACAGAGTGAGTTGTAGGACAGCCAGGGCTACACAGGGAAACCCTGTCTTAAAAAGAAGAGGAGGAGGAGGAAGAAGAAAATAAATACAGCACCCTTGCAGAGTAGGGCTGGACCCATATTTTACTGATAGGGACCCCTGTTCTGTTCTGGTTTTGTTTCTGTTTTTGCTTTGACCCGTATTCTAAAAGCCACTGTTGGGGCCTGGGGAGACGGCTCAGCACTTAAGAACACTTGCTGTCCTTGCAGAGGACCTAACTTCACTTCCCAGCACCCACACAGTGGCTCACAACCCTCCCTAACTCCAGTTCCAGGCATCCAAAGCCCTCTCCTGACTTCCACAGGCACTACCTGTACGTCGTGTACATACATATGTGCAGGCAAAACACCCATAAACATAAACAAATCTGAGAGAAAAAAAATTTTAAGCCACTGTGGAACAAATTGTCAAGGCAGGCATCTCCAAGGACCTGGTCCACGACATAAATGTTTAAATAGATTAGAAACTGTCAGAGCCAACCTCAACAGAAAAGTAGAAAATGGTCACGGGTTTGCAGCAACCAGTGACATACTACGTGGAGAGCAAGGCGGCTGTAGGGTAGAAGGACTTTGTCCTGCCTGCCTGTGCCCCCACTCCTCCCTGCCTGGGCCCCACCCCTCCCTGCCTGTGCCCCCACCCCTCCCTGCCTGTTATCCCGAGAGCAGGAAACCTGCATTACCAATGTCAGACCTGGGCCCCTAGTTCCCAAGGGAACTGAGCAGATCTTGCTCAGAAGTCCCTGGCCCTGCCCTGTCTGGGCTTCTCTTCTTCTTCTAAGAGTCTAGAACAAGACTCTTAGCTCTGTTCTGCCTAACTCAATTTAGGACATGAAAATAGCCAGTTCAGAAACATTGTAATTTTTGTTGTTTTTCAAGTCAGGGTTTCTCTACATAGCCCTGGCTGTGCTGGAACTCGCTCTGTAGACCAGGGGGGCCTTCAACTCAGAGGTCCACCTGCCTCTGCCTCCCCAGGGATGGGGTTAAAGGTGTGCACCACCACTACCCCCTGAAAACATTGTAATTCTAAAGGAAATCACCTGGTTTATTGTTTATAGTTAACGGATAGTCAGCTCCCAACATCCTGGGAAGATACTCTCTTAGGAGAAATGAGAGAATTCAGAGGTACAGTTGGGCAATCTAGAAAGCTGAACATGGGCCCAGCATAGGGCAGGAGCCCAGAAAGACCTCTGACGACTCTAAGCTTCAGCTCCAGCAGATCTAACCTTGCACAGGAACCAAGAGAGCATTGTTATTGATATCAAAGGGCTGGGTGGTGGTGCCTTTAATCCCAGCACTCGGGAGGCAGAGGCAGATGGATCTCTGTGAGTTCGAGGCCAGCTTTGTCTACAAAGAGAGTTCCAGGAAAGGTGCAAAGCTACACAGAGAAACCCTGTCTCGAAGAAGAAGAAGAAAAAAAAAAAAAAAAAAGAGGAGACTTATTGGCAGAATTACAACATCATATTATACAAAATATAGTTTTTAGCAATTCAAAGAAGAAGAAAAAAGAGCCCCACAAAATATCATTGAGAAAACCTAGATATTGGACTTAATAGAGACTTTAAGCAACTGCCTTAAATGCACTCAAAGAACTAAATGAAACCATGAGTAGAGATTAAAGGAACCAAGAAAAAAATTTGTTAATGAAAAGATACTGTCAATAAAGAGGTACATTTAAAAAAAAAAATGAACCTAATGTAAAATCTAATACCAAAAAGTACAATAAAATGAAATGAAAATTCACTAGAGCATTTCAACAGCGGATTTGAGCAGGGAAGAGAAGGAAATTCCAAGTTCAGATGGTGGATTGTCCACTCTGAGGAACAAGAGAAAAGTTCAAAAAGAGACCAGAGCTTCATGGACCTGTAGGGCACATCATGTATTCTGTGGACCCAAGAAAGAGAAGAGAAAGGGATAAAAATTTGTATGATAAGAGCTGAAAATATCCCAAATTTGATGAAATAACCTCAGTTTACAGGCCCAGCCCAACAAGCTCAGTTGGATGAATTTAAAGAACTCCACACACCAAGTTCCACTATAATTAAATTGAACATGGTAAGAGAGAGGTATTTAACCATTACCACATTATCGTGGGGCGAGGTGGCTTACATCTGTAATCCTAGCGGATGAGAGGCTAGAGGATGCTGACAAGTTTACGTCCAACTAGGCTGCAAAGGAACACCAGTATTTCCTAAAGGGGGAAGTGATTAATAGCTGATGTTCAATAAAGTTATCGAGATCAAAAGGCCACCAGAGTAAGACATATTTAAAGTACCAATGGCCTTGTCACCCTAGAAATCTGTGAACAACCAAGGCACAGACTGAAGGAGTCGTTCAGACGCCCCAGATAAACAATAGTTTGTAGAGGGATCGTCATGAGTACACCTTCCTCTGAGAGATGCTGAAGGGAGCTGAGATGACAGGATTCTGGTCAAAAATTTCATTGCTAAGTACTGTATTTTTGCCTTGTGAGTTCACGTTTGTTGTTTGGAAGCGTGGTCTCACTATTGGAGCATAGAATGGCTTCAGACTCATGACCTTCTTGCCTCCACTTCCCAAGGACTGGGTTCTGTGCATCCACTTTTATTTCCCACAAAGAATAAATAAATGTGTTCATACATACATACATTAGTGCTGAGGATGGAACCCGGTGCCTCCTACATACTAAATACTAAATATGTACTCTCCCACCTAATCTAAACCTCTAGCTTCATAAACCTTTTGAGCCAAGAGTACAGAAAGATAGACTCTGTGATAACAAATTATAAGGATAACAATTGTGTTGGGAAGAGTTTTGGCATTGGTTGCTCTAGGATGTTTGTTATAACTCCATGGTAAATATTAAGTAAACATCCAACAAATTCACACACAAAAAAGGAAAAAAAAAACAAAATGACACTTTACTAAAAAATAATAGTTGAACATGAAAGAATGTGGCAATAGAAAAATCCAAGAAGAAAAGCATGAAAAATATACCCAAAACAGATAACAGCGTGACAGAAACATTCCATCAACGCTAAGCCTTATAATCCCAGCCACTCGAGAAGCTAAGGCAGGACAATTGCAATTCCAAATCCAGTATGGCGACACAGTGAGTTTGTATCTCAAATGAGGCTGCGGAGAGAGCCCAGTAGATGGGGCATTTGCCGTGTGAGAGTGAGAACTCCGGTTTGGATCGCTGATCCCATGAAAAGCACGGCAGGCGTGGTCACCATCAGTAACCCCAGCACGAGGGAGGCAGAGAGGAGAACTAGCTAGACTAGTCGGTGAGCTCGGGGTTCAGCAAGAGACCTTGACGCCTCAACAAGTGAAGTGGAGGACAACAGACAAGGCACCCTACATCAGCTTTGCTCCTCCATACTCATGTGCACACACTGCGGCCACACACGTGTGAACATGCATGCATGCACACCACATGCACAGAGTTTTTAAGTAAGAAAAAAGGGCTAGGTGTAGCACGGTCTTAAGAATAAAAACCCGGAGTCAGATGTCACTGTAAATGCTGAAAGATCAGAGAGACAAAGGAGCAAGACACAGCCACTTCTTACCTGGCCAACTCCTCAGCTGAAAAGGAGGAGATCCTGTCTCTAGGAATCCTCAGATTGAATCTACAGGCACCTCAGCCAGCCTCCAGAAAGGTGAACAATACATTTCTTATTTATAAATTACTCACTGTGAGGGTCTGTTGTGGGTTGGGGGTTGTTTTGTTTCTGGGAGACGCTGGAAGCTGAGTTTCGAGGCCTTACTAAACAGGGCCTCTCATTACGGAGATCAACTTCTAACCCTACAGCACTCCGTAATAGCAGCCCTAGCCAGCTCCGGAACACAAAACCTCTCCACTTAAAACATCATCCAGGTGTCCTAGAGCAGGAGCTAGGTGTCAGATAACAAAGTAAGTCTCAGTAAACTTTACATTATTGAAATAAATGATAGGAAATGTCTTCTCTAAGCAGGAAAACTGGAAAATGTAGAGTTGTGGAGATAAAGCTACCAGTGGGTCAATGAAGAAATCAGGAAAATAAACAATCCCTAAAAATAAGTGATTGAAAATACCATGAACAACCCGAGTTCAGTTCCCCGCACCCACGTGAGGCAGTGCATAGCTGCCTGCCACTGCAGCCCCCGCAATCGGGCATCTGGCTTCTGGTCTCCACGGGGCCCTGTGCACATGCAGCATACATAATAAATGAAAATAAAAATAAATTTTTAAACAACAAAAAAAAAGCGCCAGGGGGGCGGCGGGGGCGGTTTTGAAAAACCAAAAGGGGGGAAAAAGGAAGAAAGAGGCTTGGCAAGATGTCTCAGCAGGTGAAGGTGCTGCTGTGATTGATGGCTTACCACCTGACTCCCATCTCCCAAACTATGTGAGGGGGGAGGGAGAGCCACCCCGCTAACTTGTCCCCTGGCCTCCACCCAGAACTGTGTGTGCCCACATACCATGCATGTGCACACACACAATAATAACAAATGATGTTCTAAAAAGGAAAGCTAGTGAATCAGTAAGGTAACTTTTAAATCTTGAGAAACAACAAAACATTGCCAGCGGAGATAGGACAAATAAAGAATGAAAATCAACAAAAAGTGAATTATTAGAAAACTGTTAGCTTTCAGAGTAACAAAGAAAGAAGACACAACTGAAGTCAGAAATGAAAGTGGAAACATTTTTACCAAACTTGTTTGTTTTTTGAGACAGAGTCTCCCTATGTACTTCTGGATGTCCTGGAACTCATCTGTAGACCAGGCTGTCCTCAAACTCACAGAGATCCTCCTGCCTCTGCCTCCCGAGTGCTGGGATTAAAGGCGTGCGCCACTACACCCAGCTAGCCAAACATTTTTTAAATGCTATAGCTCAGTGGTAAATCTCAATCCCCTGCACCATTTTTTAAAGGAAATAAGAAAAACTTAGAAGCTAGTACCCTTTATGGTTAGAATACACACTCAACAAAATAATGGCAAGCTGAATGGGGAATGCATTAAAGTATACTCCAAGACTATACAGGATTGAAGGCAGGAATGGAAGGACAGTTTAACGGGAAACCCACTGGTGAACTTATCGGTAAATGCAAAGTGGGAAAGCCGTGGTTACCTCGGGTTATACAGAAAAACCAGCTGCCCTGCATATAACATTTAGAAAACAATACTCGGAAAGCTTGTAATTGATGCAGACCTCTTCATCGTGGTGGACCCATCAAAATGTACCTCACCTTTGTAAAGAACTGTTAACATGTCTAACTTAGTTAAGAAACAATCTAAGTATTTATCATGTGCTCCTGACGATCTTAACAGCTTTGTCCTGTAGGGCTTGGGATGTGTGCCAAGTTCACCTGGAAGACAAAATGCAATTATGAGAAATGTCAATAATGTAACCTCATCATAAGTCAGAGAGTCTGTGAATGTACATGTTCATAGCATAGTCTCTATAGCCAAAAACTGCAAGCAGACCAACTTATATCAGTAGATAGAAAGATAAACAGATGGCTATACACACAATGGGATATAATTCAGCCATAAAAAAGAATGTAGTTCTGATACACACAATAAAATATATGAGTCTCTAAATAAGTATGCCACATGGAAGAACTCAAAACATATATTGTATGATGACATTTTTATGAAAAGTACAGAATTTCTCCATAGAGAAATCAGTTGATAGTTGTCAGGAACAGAGACATAGGTTGATGGTTGTCGAGCACTGGAGGCAGAAAGAAATGGGAATAAACTCCTTACTAGATACAGTTTTGTGGGGGAAGGAAGAGGGATTGGTTCAGGGTTGAGCTACATGCCTGCCAATGCTAACCTCAACTAACACCTAAGCTCAAGTGATCCTCCTGCTTCAACTCCCCAAGTGGCTGGGACTAGAGAAACATGTACGTAAAAGTGAAGGTTTTACTTTGGAGGGATGGAAATGTCTTAGAAATAAAGCTGCCTGAGTGTTGTGTTGCCCCTTTGATCCCAGCACTGGGGCATAGGTGGAGGGGCAGGTGGGTCTCTGTGAGTTTGAGGCCAATGAGGTCTACATAGTGGGTTCCAGGCCAGCTAGGGCTGCGAAATAGTAAAGAGGGAGAGGAGGAGGAAGAGAGGAAGAGAGGAGAAAACTAGCTAGGTGTTGGTTGCACAACACTGAATGTGCTCAATGCCACTGCAGTGTCTTCTGGAGAATGATTAACATGTGACTTTCACCTAAGTAAATCATTAAATAAAAATGAAACAAGTCAGCCGGGCGATGGTGGCGCATGCAGTTAATCCCAGCACTCAGAAGGCAGAGGCAGGCAGATCTCTGTGAGTTCAAGGACAGCCTGGGCTGTTACACAGAGAAACCCTGTCTCAAAAAAAAAAAAAAAAGAAAGAAAGGAAGGAAGAAAGAAAGGGAGAAAGGAAGAAAGATGTTACTGAAGGAGATGGGAGACCACTTGAATGTGAGATATTTCTTGGATCTATACAGCAGATTACCAAGGCACTGAGGTTTCTGCTAAACCACATTTCAAGGGTAGGATTGTGACCAGGACTCTGAGACATTTGCACACATTAACCATGAAGGTGTTTCCTCCCAAAGGAGGTTTTTTGGTTTTTTCGTTTGTTTGGTTGGTTGGTTTTGGTTTTGTTTTGTTTTTTTGCCTAGAAGATCTGAAAACAAATACAGTTTTCAGGCTGGGAAATGTCTCAGTGGTTAAGAGCACTGACTACTCATATATCTGGGTTCAATTCCCAGTACCCACATGACAGCTAAAATCAATCTGTAGCTCTAGTTTGAAGGGATCCAACATCCTCTTCTGACCTCTCAGGCATGCCACACATGTAATACACAGATATTCAAACAAAATGCTCACACAGACACACACACAGACACACACACACACACACATTAAAAAAAATTCTCACAAATACAGTTTGGATAGGTCAGGCAACTATTTGCTTTTAGATCTTTGTCTTTGAGCTCAAACTTTACTTAAAAAAAAGAAAGTTAGCTTGTTGGACATGGTGGCATTTACCTTTAAAATCCCAGCATGGAGAAGGAGGCAGAGGTAGGTGGATCTCTGAGTTCAAGGTCAGCCCGGTCTTAGTGAGTTTGAGGCCAGTTAAAACTACATAGTGAGACCCTGTCTAAATAAATGAATAAAATCTACTGTACTCTTGGTTGTTTTGTTTGTTTCCCTGGCTTAGAAGTCTATGTAGAAATCCGCCTGCCTCTGCCTCCTGAGTGCTGAGTTTAAAGGCATGTGCCACCATGGCTAGTACAGTGGATTCACTTTTTGTTTGCTTGTTTTGTTTTGAGACAGGGTCTCACTATGTAGCCCTCCCTGGCTGTCCTCAAACACCCTATGGAAACCAGGTGGTCCTTGCTCACAGAGATTCACCTGTCTCTGCCTCTCAGAGCTAGTATTAAAGGCATATGCCATCATACCCTGCATGGATTCAGTCTTGTTTCCTAATAAAAGACTCATCTAAATAGTGGCTCAAGCTGGAAAGTTCGTTCTTTTTTTTTGTTTTGTTTGTTTTTCAAGACAGTGTAACCACCCTGACTGTCCTGGAACTCACTCTGTAGACCAATCTGGCCTTGAACACAGAGATCTACCCACCTCTGCCTCCAGGTGCTGGGATTAAAGGCGCGCGCCAGCCATATCTCTTGATCCTCTGAAGTGATGCTTCGTCTCAGTCAGGGTCATCAGATCCATCTAACAAACACTCTACAGCCTGTAAGCTAAGATTGGACTTGGGTTGTTTTTAAGGGTTATGGGAAATTTGTGGGTTTATGTTTGCTTCTTTACGGCAGGGTCTCACTCTGTCCCCAGGCTTGCCTTTAACTTGCTGTGTAGACACTTCACCCTCGAATGTGTGACCATCTTCCTGCACCAGCCTCCCAAGGACTAGGATTGCAAGCACGGCACGCACACACACCTTGCAGTTTCCTGTTGCAGTGCTTGGGATGGAAAGAGGGCCCTGTGCTTGCTAAGCGAATGTTCTCCCACAGAACTGCGACATCCCTAAGTGCTTAAAGGTTGTTTTCAAAATAACCTGTATATAGAGGCCGGAGAAATAGCCCAGTTGCAAGAACGCCAGGGTTTGGTTCCCAGCACCCACATCAGGCAGCTCATAGTTACCTGCAACTCCAGTTCCAGGGCACCCAATGTTCTCCTCTGGCCCCTGTGGACACCTGCACACACATGGTGCACATGCATAAACTCAGGCACACACATACACATGAAGTAAATAAACACATTTTTAAATAAATATTTTTATTTTATAATTAATTAATTTTACATGTCAGCCACGGATTCCCCTGTCCTCCCTCCTCCCACTCCCCAGCCTGCCCCCCAATCCATCCCCCATTCCCACCTCCTCCAAGGCAAGGTCTCCCCTGGGGATTCAGCCCAGCCTGGTAGATTCAGTTG